TCAATCTCTTAAGCTACATTTCAAAATGGGAAATACATGAATACATTTAAGAAAGGCAGATTGTTGGTCTTAGCAAGTCTGCAAATTGATAAAGGAAAACAGCTAATTACTAATATCAGAATGACCAGTAATAATGTAATAATTATGATATATATATAAAAAATTTCATTTTAAACTACCGAATCCCTGATAATGAATCAAGATTATAATGCAAACTTGCATTATATCAGATATATGTTTGAATATATGCTACAGTAATAAAAGCACATTTAATAATGTGCCATTAAATGTAGAAGGCCCTGTAAAAGCCACCATCATGGACTATGAGGCGGGATGTCAATGTGTCTGTAAGATTAGAGGCCCCATAGTGTTTATAACAGATGACCTGCTTGAAGCCGTTCCCCAAACTGTTGCTTTATGTGGAGTTATCTCCACACAAAATCAACCCGGCTCTTTTCCACGGTCCAAATACATGCATCTTTGGTTAACTATCATGAGGGCAATAATGTGCCTTTACATCTTATACCGGATGTGTTCAATAAATTAAAATTTCAAATCGATAGGTAGGACAAGCATTAAAGGATTGATAATAACTGAAATGAAAATTCTAATTTTTCCAACAATCAAGTAGCACTGACAGTTTACGCGTAAATACAGAGATTCCACCAGCACCCTATAACAGGCCAGAAACCATGAGGAAGTGAACATGCTGTGCTGTTCAGACCTCTATGCAGTGCAATCTGTGGGAGAGTAAAGGTCATAGGCTGCAGGAGAAGACGGCTGCCCCAAAACCAGATAACAACCCCATACAGACATATTCCTTCTGTTTTAGATATTTTCATCAGAGCTGACCTCCTCAAGCAGCTCAGGGTTAAAGTCAAAGCAGCAGGGAAACAAAATTACAAAGTATTTTATCTCTAGTTCAAAAAATAAAAATGGTAATTTCAAAATCGTATCTAATAGCGACCGACATCAATCTACCTGTTAGAGGACGCTACCAGGCTCTGAGGGAGAGCGGGACAAGGGCACTAGTGTCAAAACCCACTTGGATGTAAATGTTTTCCCCACTTTAAGCCCACAGCGTCTCCCTCAAGTGCGCGAAAGCCCGCCCAGGTTAAAACTCAGATATGGTAGAAAAATATATAGTTTTGATGAGATCTTCTACTTATTCTTTTTATCACTGAAATCCACTCACACATGTAGTGTTAACACATTGCAGCAGCAGTGTAAAGTGACAGGGATCATGATTAGCACTACTACAAGAAAACAACTGGGGAAAAAAAATACTCACACTTCCGCTCAATGTTCTCTTTCTCTCTAGACACTTCTGGTTATATTCTTTTTTTTTTTTTCTTGCACTTAAAAAGTCATGGTTAATAGTTTGTCTTTCATTGGCATCATTAGGCAACAGTTGTTTTGTATGAGTGGCCGTTTAGGACAGAAACTATTTTTCCTCTCACGTACACCAATAAAACCATGTACACACCTCGGTAGACACACACACACTCAACAAAAATATGTTTTCCTCTCAAACACACTACTATGACATGCACACATCACAGTAAAAACAGTCACACACAATCACAAAACTAAAATTGAATATATGTCTAATGTGTGTGTGTGTGAACTAATAATAGACTGAATAAGAGGCTATACATATGTGTGTGTGTGTGCGCGCGCGCGCGTGTGTGTATGTGACTGATGTCGTAGCAGACTGAATGAGAGGCTTGTACTTGTGTGTGAGAGAGTTCAACCTGTCACGGAAGAGGCGGGGCAAATTGGCTAGCGCATGCGTGGAACCCAAACTGAGCAATACTAATGCGCTCTAATGAACTAATACGCAATACTAATGAACTCTCTCACACACAAGTACAAGCCTCTCATTCAGTCTGCTACGACATCAGTCACATACACGCGCGCGCACACACACATATGTATAGCCTCTCATTCAGTCTAGTATTAGTTCACACCCACACACGTAGACTCTTATTCAGTCTAGTATTAGTTCACACACACACACACACACACTTATGCCCTCTCATACAGTCTAGTATTAGTGCACACACACACATTAGACATATATTCAATTTTATTGTGATTGTGTGTGACTGTTTTTACTGTGATGTGTGCATGTCATAGTAGTGTGTTTGAGAGGAAAACAGTTTTTTTGAGAGTGTGTGAGTGTTTCTACTGTGATGTGTGCATGACAGTATTGTGTTTGAGAGGAAAACATATTTTTGTTGAGTGTGTGTGTGTGTGTCTACTGAGGTGTGTGCATGGTTTTATTGGTGTACGTGGGAGGAAAAATAGTTTCTGTCCTAAACGGCCCCTCATAGTTTTTTTTAAACAGATACTCTACAATATGGTTACAATGTAAACACCACAGTACAGAATTATTTTTACTGTCTCTGCACAAAGTAAAACACGATACAAGGCATGTGGCTACTTAAGCATAGATTTGTTCATGAAGAAGATAAAAACAGGAAACACACCACAAAAAAAAAAAAAAAATCAACAAAGATATCCAAAAGCTGGCATAGAGTTTGTTCAAATTAAAATAACTTCAGACTTTGTCTATAGGTCATTGAGGTGACCTCGTTTTAAAAGCTGGTGATGATCATTTATATTTATTATTCTTTAATTACTTTCACTTTCAGACAGATTGAGGTCAAAGGGATGGTTCGGGAATTTTCAAGTGAGGGTCTGTTAGCAGATCATGGGTTACTAATATCTTCTCTGCAGTCGATGACTCTCTTGGCATCTTCATTTAGGATAAATGCAAAAAAGTTGTTCCTGATGCTAAAGCTTACTGCTAATTTGAGCAGATCCCTACAGTCTGAAAACCTAAAGTTCAATTTTGGATAATGCTATTTTATCTGTAGTAAAGTTTGCATTCGATTTGCATTTTCATTGTTTGCATTTGACCGTTTCAACTACGGAAAAGGTCAAATAGTGAACTTTTTCCCCCATTAGTGAATACACCGTGCTAAGAGCTACCAGGTTGCTTAAGAAAACACTCTGGGTTGTTGAAATTGTACCTGAGGGAAGTAAAATCATCAAGGTGTTTAAAAGTATTTTAGAGGACGCCACCAAGATTTAATGAAAATGAACTGTTAAGACGTTTTGACAAGTGTGCTATTCTATTCAATTCAATCGTCATTTTATTTCAGAAATTAGACATTTCATCATAACTTCCCCCCCAAAAAAGTAAAAAAAAAAAATCCACTGGACCAAGTTTGAAGACTTGAGCGTTGAGTTTGAGGCTATATAGAGTGGACCAAATGAACTCATTATTTCTGGGATTTTGAATTGAAAAAGCTTAGTGGATGGGAAGCGAAACCTCTTCAAACTTCAAACAGTGGATTGTTTTTTTAACTTTTTTTGGAAGAACTATGACCTGGATGACTGAGAATCTTCAGCAGCATATTCCCCTTAAAAACTAAACATTTATCTATTAATTTTGTAGATGTGTTCCAAATCCAAAATAGCTTGAAATAATGCTACAAACTTCTGTGGGGACCTTCTTTCATCATAAAAAAAGAATTCACATAGCATTAGCATTAGTGTCCAGTACCAGTTAATATCAATATATATACAGTTTAGCTCAGAATTATAGATGCAAGCAAGTTTTCCAATATATGTGTTATAAATGCAACAAGAATGCTGCTTGGAATCTAAACTTTAAAACATTTATGGTGAAGAAACAACCCAAATTTCCACATCCAATGTGGCTCCCAGCTGCACAAAATACGATAGTCCTAAGAAAAGTGTAAACAGGTTGTTTTGCACGTCTGAAAATTCATCTCATGTAAACCGGTGTTGCTTTTATTATAATGTACCTTTGCAGCGTTACAATAAATGAAGATTTAGAAGGACACCTTTTGCAGCCAAGAAATCGACTACTAACAGACTTCTCACATGGCCTCACCTTCAGAAACCCTGGACCATCTCTTTCAGACAGATGTCTGGTGATATTTAGTGTTATATGAGCAGCCCAAAAACCAGCATCAGGCTTCAGATGAGCTCTCACCGAATGCTTGAAATCAAACAGAACCTTTAGCACCTGGCAGAAGGTCCCTCTGCATTCAAACACGCTTGAGGAGCTACAGTTTGAAGCAGAGTCCTCCTCCTGACTTGTTTTTTGATGTTTTAGTGATATGACACCATCTATCTTGTGAAAGTAGGGTTCGCTATGACACAGACTCATCTGTATGAATGAAAATAAAGGCATAAGGATAAAGATATGTTGTAGGACCTCGTCAGTGTGTGCTCGAACGCTTCAGCTCAGTTTTTAGTGTTTTGGCATATTGGCTCTAAATTGACATGCTGAAATGTTGACTTCGGCATAAATCAGCTCTGAGGAGAGCGACCTCTCTGTCTCAACGTTTCTGGTTCATTTCCTTAAACTGAGCCGCTTCCTATTAAGCCGCAGAATTATTATTTTTTTCCTCTTTGAACCACGAGCATGAAGCATACTGTGTATGATAATGAGATGAAGAGCCTCCCCCCGCCCACCCCCCTTCTCTCTACAACATTAAAAACAAAACAGGATCCCACTGCCAACCTCCGTAAAAGACAGTATTTACAGTACAAATTATATTATAATACATCATTAAAAAATATGAGATTCATCTCTAAAAACATACAGAAGCTTTCCACAAGAAAATCAAAATCAAATTCTTTAGTAAATTAGGTTTCTATGGTATTGTTGGGGAAAAACAAAAACAAAAAAATAAAGAAAAGTTACATGGCCCTCTTTTCTGAGGGGTCTTTTTCTTTTGGCCCCGGTTGTACCTGGCTGGCATGATAAAAACGGACATGATGGATGGGTTGGTTAAACGCACGCATGTCTTTTCTTGTTACTTTTTGTGCCAAAGCAAACCGTAATACAACAGATCCCACTGGATCAGAACAACAGTATTTACAATTATTATTTTGTTTCATGTCAGATATTAGATATGTGCTCACTGGTATGGTTATCTATTTTACCTGTTGATTTCTTTTTTAATTAAAAGGAAAGTTTCCTATTATTGTATGTACAGCAGATTGAATGGTGCATTTTCTCCCCGAAAAGAGAATAATTATGAACTGATTGAAACTCAGATGAGTTAAGAGGATATCTGGACATCAGAGCCAGGCAGCGTGGGAACCAACCCTCCTCACATCCTCCATAGTACAACCAAAGTCCATTTGTAAACCTCTGCAGATTCTTCCTACTTTTCTTTCCTCGCCCTCGGTTCTGCTAGCCTTCCATCATCATTACCCACGCTACGATTTCTTTCCAAGTTTCCCCCTCTCTGACTCCCCTTCTCCACCGCTCGCCCTCCCAGCCACGCCCCCCTCAGACGTAGGGCAGGATGCCGTAGACGAACAGGGCCATGACGGCAGCACTGAACAGGCCGGCCACTGGCACCGTGACGAACCAGGCTAGGAAGATGTTCCTGAAGAGGTGCCAGTCCACAGCTTTCTGGGAGCGGATCCAGCCCACGGCTACGACTGAGCCCACCTAGAGGTAGCGGCCAGAGAGAAGGAATGGAGATAATCAGCAGCAGAACTGAACACATTCAATGGTTGCAGGGACAGTGAAGAGCTGCAGGGCGTCTTTGCTGTATTTAGGACTGAGACGTTTAGGGCTGACAGTTGGTCAGGCTATTTGTACTTACACTAGTTTCTAGTTGTAAAAAGCCTAGAAAATATATATGTATACCCTGATGGGCTTAATAAGTGGTATAAATGTGTAATATAGTGTTCTATTGGATACCAAACACTGTTTGCCATCAGGGAACCGTTTTCCCCCTATAACCTGTTATACCAGTTAAGCATACAGAGAGGGATGTCGGACTACTCCTCTTTGCAAGTCTCTACATCATCCAGAGCTCTTGTATCATTTCCTTCTGCTCAGCCTCTCAACACAATTCAGATCCAGGAACGACTTATGATTGAGTCATACTTTTTGGATCATTATTTAGTAAATGCAGTCATTTAATCCACTTACTGCTCACTTCCACCAAATTTTTTATTTAAAATCTGCTGGTATTTTAGGGGTTTGTGATATCATCTATTAGAAGGTTCTGGTGGCCTTAAAGAGAAACAGAAACACAGATGCTGATACTAAATCTTTTTGGACTACTGTGTGCACCATAAATGTTCATTAACATTTGGATTTAACACATAGCCAGAATCATATTAGAGGCTCTTTGCTGCCATCTAGTGTTTAATTATACAAATTATGCAGAATTTAGGCAATCTACAAACTAATCAATATTCTACCAGTTAATTATGTTTTATGTGAGATCCACCTAGTTTATAGGTAAAGGCAAAATATTAGTTTGATCTGAGCGAAACACAGATCAAGACAAAGTCCCAGCAGAAAGCAAACTCTTTGTGGTTGTGATTGTAGGACAATCAGCGTTAGTATATACTGTTAGTAAATACGCTTCAATGGTTACAACAGACCTTTGGAAAATATTTCAAAATCTGGTAAACTTTAAAAGACGTTTTAAGAAAAACTGATAAGTGGTTGATGTACGAAGCAACAGTTGCAGAGTAGGTGAAATAAAAAAAAAAATTAATATTTTTTTCTAATTCTTTAGTGAATGGTTATACTTCTAAATATTAAGGTCAGTTTATTTTAGAATATCTTAGCTGGCAGTGAGAACAAATGCTTTGCTGTCTGTAAGTTAAACTATATAAAACAAAGCATACCTCTAAGATTAAAGCAGCGTAGGCCTATATTAAAAAGGTGATAAGAAAATACAGAGATTACAGGAGACATCTCAATTAGTCAACTGCTGCTAGAGACAATAGTGAAATTATACCATTTATTTAGAGGTTTAAACAATATCATTCAAATATTGATCAATTTCAGTAATTTAATTCCATAAAGTCTAAGTGAAAGATTTCTTTAAAAACTGACATATTTTGAGTGTAAATTTTTGCTAACTGTGATCATTTTGGCTTTAAATAAATAAAAAGATAAAATTAAGATTCTTTAATTATGACTTAAGGATAATAAATCATATGCGTAATGATTCACAATTAATGGTTTAAAAAAACTTAAATCGACTTTAGCATTTAAAAGAAAAATATACTTTCAAGAGATGTTAATGCAAAGAAAAAGAACAAATAATGAGCTACCAGAGATCTCTTTTGAAGTGAGGTTTGTGCTCAAACTGAAGGTTGGATTTGTTGAAAAGATTTCTATTTTTGTCTTTCTTTGTTTGTTTGTTTTCTACAAAATTTGGGATATCGACAGATTTGTTGCTGTACTTTTAAGCCTCTTTAACAGCCAAACTATTTCAAAGGGAACTTATCTGTCACAGACACAAAACAATCCTTAATTATTCACAGCAACAAGAAGAAGGAACTCATGCTGACTTTCTTTAATTAACTAAGGAAACATTTTACCAGACTATGCATTTATTCAATCATATCTGCAAACCAGTAAAAGCTCCTGTTTGAAATGTGTTTCAGACCATGTAAAAACATATAGAGCCCGAG